GCCGCTCCTGCCACGAAACCTGCTACTGGAGGTGCTCAAAGTGCTGATGCGCCTGCCACGAAATCTGCAGTTCCAGCAAAGTGCCGCTCCTGCCACGAAATCTGCTACTGGAGGTGCTCAAAGTGCTGATTCGCCACGACATCTGCAGTTCCAGTGCACAAAGTGCTGCTCCTGCCACGAAATCTGCTACTGGAGATGCTCAAAGTGCTGCGCGCGCCACGAAATCTGCACATCCAGATTCACATCGCGCAGCGCTGCCAAGGCGGTTGGCAGTGGCAGGCGCAGCTCTTTGTGAGAGATATATTGTTTTTGATACAAATTACTTTTCTTTTTGATAGGATATAGAAATTTTTCTTTTTGATATATTTATTTTCTTTTTGATAGCCCGGCCGCGAACCACTTACGAAAAGGACACCACACTTCAGCGACAGCGACAGCTCAGCCACAAAAGCGAATCGGAAACAAGATGACCGAGCCCCAGCAGTTGCAAAAGACTCCATGTTCCTCGATCCATGCCACAATCACCAGGCGCTTTTCTCAAGTCGGGAGACATGGAGACACCCATGGCCGGTTCGTCGCACGGCGCCGTGATAACCCCGCCGCTGCGTGGCCTTTCTGAAGTGCAGCGGCGCAGCGTTTGCAGGGCGCCCAATTCACGGAGCTGGGTCGCGGCATCCCGAAGTTGAGGGAGGCCCATGCATGGCAGGGGTGCCTAATGGCCTAGGATGCGTGAACTCACGTCTTTCGAAGGGTGCAGAAAACTGGGCCTTTTTTCATGAGCTTGCTGTAACCCTTTGGAGCACGGAAGCGGTGTTTAGAATTGTTACTATTCTTGGGCATTTTTGTGGCCATTCCACTTTCTTCAGACTTCAACTGCCACACCCAAACAGATCGTCAGATAAGATAGATATGTATATTATATATATAGATAGGATAGGATAGGATAATAGGATATGATAGATTAGATTAGATTAGATCAGATGAGATTAGATCAGATCATAGATAGATAGATAGATAGATAGATAGATAGATGATATATAGATGATAGAATATAAATATATAATATATATATATACAGGTGTATAAAAAATCTAAATCTCTCTCTATTATATAGATAGTTACACACACACACACACACCTTCAGCGTTACACAAAGGGGTTACAACCATCAGGCATTCTCAGGAAATATAGTTCGTGCCTGAGGCCCAGACTCCACAACACATAGCCTGCTGACCGGGAATTTAATGCATCTTTCTTTGGTGCTTTTGCTTTCCTTTGCTTTCCTCTTTGAAGCTTTTGAGGATCGGGTGATACAGAAACGGCGAATCTCAAACCTGTACCATAACCCTACTACTAACCCCAGCCCGTACTTTGGAACACAGACCGCTGGTTTGGCACAACGTTTCCGCAACCCATGCCGCAATGCCAAACCCTTACCATACCCGTACTTCATCCTTACTTTATGCAATATATTTATCTATATCTATTTTCTATTTTTTTAGTATGGGTTTTAAAGATTCGGACCGGGAGCTAATTTTGAAGGATTTCTCTGGACCTTTTGTTTCTTGTATGTTTTTAAATTTGGGGTATGGACCGGTATGGACACCTGAAACCACACTGATTTTTCTGCTTTTGTCGTGGGAGGCCTTCTGAGGTTTTCAGTGGCACCGCGGCCTCGATGCATGATTTACGGTATGCGGAATGGTGGTATCTTTTTAGACAAGAAAGCGGCAGTGACACATCCGGAAAAACCGACATGTTTTTGTTGGCATCCGTCAGCTTGTCAGACATCGTGTTTGTGTACTGGGCCCATTTGCAGTAAATAACTGTTGCTTAGGGATGCTTGGGGTTTGTTGTGCATATACAATCACGCACATGCCCACATGGATATATCCTACATAAATTCATGTCTTATTTTTCTTCCTTCCATCCATCGTTCCAAAGCGCGTCCCCTCTGCTCGTCCCTCTTCTGCTTTCCATGTGAACCCCGAGGCATCGCCTCACGGGAGTGAACGACGCCGTGCACGACGCCGAGATGCTGGCGTCCGGCGGCCCCAGCGGACGGCGTCGCGGAGACGCGGACGGCGTTGGAACGTGTGAGAGCCATCAGGGCCATCGAGGGCCATGTGGACCCTTGTCCAGCAAAATGATGCGTTCCGTGGAGGATTTCGATTAAAAGGCAGGATGTTCAGTAAGTAGTAAGTACTAGACTATGACTCAGATTGACTCAGATTGACTAAGGAGAGAGCTATGTGGCGACGGCCCTGTTCTCAGGATTGGTGGTCGGGAAATTGGGGCATCTCAGTAAAGTCACGCTGGCCTTTTTGCAATCAATTTTGGATATTTTGGAATAGCGAAGGGCTTCCTCATCCATGTTAAACTTTCCGGGGAAAGGTGCTTGCTGGGGGGAATCTTTAGGACCTTAGGATTTGTTGGCCAGTTGAAATGCTTCCGCAACTTCCACGGTTCCTTCTCAGCTGGCATGTGTAAGCCTGTTCAGTCTTTACGAGGCAATGGCGGGGCCTAGCGGCCTAGCAACCCATTGTCAATGAACGATGTAGGTCGACCATTGACAGTCCTCACTGAGGAAGTGCTGAGGTGGTCCTGGATTTGCCGGCAGCCTTAGGATCACAGCAGTAGAGATACAGAATTCGGATGATTTGGGGAACCCGGCGAGATCAAACAGGTGCAGGTGAGAATGATAAAGAAGTGCCGGAGAGTGTTTGTATGTGTTTGTCTGGTGGCATCCCACCTTACCCTTTTTCGAATGTTTTTGACTGTATATGTTTTCTTTTTTTGTGTGTGTTGTTGCATTCTGACTTTCTGGAAAACCATGTCAAGTCCCTGTAGAAACCTCCCAAACGTGCAAAGCCAAGTGCTCTCCTGACAGTGGCAAATATTGGCCTACTTCTCCTTTGAAGCATTTATATAATTGTGGGTCATTGTCATTCTTCATTGAGCCGCTGATGCCTGTGAGAAACACCCCCTCAAAACCTTTCTGTTTTGCGCACCAGTGTGATCAGCCAGAGTCCTCCGCGTCACCGATGAACCCCGCTGGGTGACCCGGTTCGTGGCGTTCGGGGCGGTTCACGCGCTCGGTCGAACTGGAACGGAGCCCAGGCGCAGTGGCTGGTGTGCGGAGGGCGCCCGATTGGAGTTGGAGAACGTCGGGGCGCCGGTCGAGGGCGGGCGAGGGCGCCGGGCAAGACAGTGGGAGTAGGAGCGAAAGTCCACCTAGGCTGGACGAGCTTGGCATAAATAATTTGGGATAGTGATATATAATGACATATCAACAAGAATACATAGCTTGATGAAGCGTAAAGCTTCTGACATGTCAAGAATCAGACATCCAAGTGCTGCCAGTGGGGCCGAGGTTAAGGCTGGCTACGCCGACATCCCTCGAGATGTCTTGAAGGGTATCAACCTGTGCTTCGAGTCGGGGCCCTGAGACAGGTCAATGACACTAGATCATGATAGATTAAAGTTCTAGAACATATATGGGGATTTCATCTGTTTTCTAGATATCTTTTTTTTTTTTCCACGAGTCCCCTGTATGGAACCTCGTGATTTTACCTATCGGACCTATGTTTCTTCTTGAGATCCGACACTGGACTCTAGTGCCGGTCCGCGCCGGTCCGCGCCGCTGCTTGGACCGGACCCTGTGAGCTTCGCTTCGCGGCCGCGAAGCGCCGCGAAGCGAAGGACGAACAGGTCAGATGTCTCGAAATCACCATCGCTCCGGCTTGGTGCGTTCGCATGATCAACTTGCGCATCATCCTGGAGCAGATAGAATATGGGAAACTCCGAATCAGTAGAATCAGTAGAACCAATACAAACGGGGCGGTTAGTTTTTTGGGATTGGCTTGTATTCTTCCCTCTCCAGGGTGGTTGTACATGTACTTATGAAACTTAACGCTTTGGAACACTCAGAAGAACCTGGTTCCTTGAATAGGTTCGGCCTCTCCAATTACACAGGTGACCATTGACAATTGATAATTGATACAATGGAAGGCAGTTCAGTGGAGGGTTGCCCAAGATAAAACCCAGGAGACAGGCCGGTGACTGCTTACCCCAAAAGCACGAGGGCAGAAGGACCAACATGTAACATCATGTAACAACTCTTTAGAAAGAATCATGTGTGGCAGGGAGCCGCCCTATTCTATCCTTAATCATCCAGACATCACGAGCCTTTTCAGGACCCCTGACGAATGTTCTTCCACGCTTGGTTGTGAAATCTACTTCGCTGCAACGCTCGCCCCACCGAGGCCCAAGACCAAGGTGGGCATTGTAGGCACCACTGGCTGTGGAAAGCCGGCGGCCGAGATCACACGAGCAGCTCAGCAGCTGTGTGTTTGGACAACTCTCTTGGGGTTCTTTCGGAGGACGCCGACTGACATCCGCTCTATAACATTGACTATGATATACTATGATGTTTACTTTTCCGAGTTGCTATCTACCCACGAGATATGGGCAGTCTAGCTCAAGGGAAGTTGGTTGGCCCAAGGTCCATCAGTACACATTGAGTTACTGCACGCCATCCCAAAACATCAAATGCTGTCCATTTCTAGGTGCCGACCCCCGATCAAACACCTTTCAATATATGTGGTGGGTGCCAAACGTCCTCATCGTGGGCCCCTCTTTGCTTCCTCCCTTCTCCGAGGTCCAGTCTTCTTTTGGTGCGGGCCCCCAGAAACGGGCGAGTCGACGCAGCGCCGGCTTCCCTCCACGGCTTCCCTCCGTCGATGTCCTCTGCCCAGAACTGGGTGGTCACCCAGATGTTCATAGACCCCCCGGCCCTGCCCTGATGAAGGTATTTTCAAATCCTTTCAGCAGAGCCCTGACTGGGTGCTGCTGGGTGATGCCGTTGCCGCGGTGGCACGTATTCCGCCGGGCCCAGGTGTTGTTGCGCATCCTCGAGCCACGAGCTGGGAGGGTCGGGGTGCATCGATCGTCGCGCATCGGAGGAGGCAGGTAGATCAGGTGGACGAATCGACACGGTGGGTGAGTCTTGGGAAGGCAAAATGGATCGTGGAAGAATGCCCAAACACTGTTATAATCCATGTACATGGCTGTATCTTCGCCGACTTGGTAGTCACTTAAGCCCAAAGGTGGATCAAGTATTCTGAACTGAAACACTTTGGCGCGTGATCGGCTGCAAAGCTAGACACATCAAAACCTTTCTATTTGGGCCCGGCTTAGAGCAGGACATCAGTTGCCGAGCCTGCTGTGAAAACTGCGACGTCCCAATCCAACCTCCGCCATCCCAGGTCATCCCAGGTCAGTCTCTTGGGATGTCTTGTCCTGCTCCTTTCGGGCATGAAACAGAGCTCAGTCACGACTCTGGGCCGGACAAAACCCCGGTGCCATGTGGGCGGTTTCTAGCACCGCGCCGTTTGTCTCGCGCCACACATAGCAGGTGCTCATCAACAATGTGGACACGAGCACTCTGGGCTTCTCGGCCCCAGGTCTTCCTGGTCGGTCCCCGGTTGGTGGGAAGTGTCAGAAAGCAGCTGACGACTCTCCGGCAAAGGCCAGCATGGAAGTGGACAAAGACCCATTTGTACCTGGACCCCCCAAGGGGTGAACATTGTTTTTTTTCTCCAGGCGCCAGGCGCCATCGAAGACGTTTCCATGATTGTTGCGGGGAGATGCGGGGAGTGTAGCTTGCTACAAAGCACGGCTGTTGGCTATTCTAGACCTAACTTCCACAAAGCGTGAGGACAAACCGGCCATAGGAGGAAGAACAGAGACTTTATGAAGTTTCTTGAGGAATTGTAAGCCCAGGAAAGACAACGAAAAACATAAGTGGGACGTGCTTGGCATGAGCCCTTTCAGTCAAGTTGTCAAGCTTTCAACTTGAGGCTTGTCAACATTGCGGAGTGCCCTTGGCCTTGTTCCACAGGAGTGGAGAGATCTGCTTGTTTTGGGGTGCGTGGGCTCGTTTAACTGGAGGCCTTCTTCCCGCGTTGGGGTGATCGATTCTCACCAAGAAGGGATGGGCATCACACAATTGCGTTGAAGCATGTTGAAGCATGTTCCACAGGATGAAGTCTCCCTCGATTTGAGACTATGACAAGCCCATTATTGAATGCTCTGATCTTGTCAAGCGCATGTTTGCTTCTGGCTCCTTGGTGTGTGCCCTGACTAGCTTTTACTACAACAAGGCGTCGAAGCATGTCGAAGCGCCTTGTGCTGCCTCGAGGATCCCTTGCTCTTCACCGGAAGCCTGCGTCAGAGAACCTCAGTTGCGCGAGAGAGTCGTAGGAATGAGATCTGCACTTCATGAAATGGATTGAGGAGTTTACTTAGTTTACCTCCCCGCTTCGAAGATCACGCAAGGGACATGGAGTCCAGCGGGTTTGGAGGTTTAGTTGATGGTCTCTCAGTTGTTCAATCTCTTTTTGTTCCCGGCAGAAACTGAGCGGAAACACGTTAACTCGAATACGGCCAAGCCTCTCCCCCCACCCGTCGGGTCTTCTTCGGGGGCCGTGGCCGGGAGCGGCCGCGGTCGGAGAGGTCACAACTTGGACCCCATGAGCTCCTACACTGCCCGGGGCCGCAGTGGAACGGAGCGCAAATGGCACGGTGGTGGGTTGTGCGATGCACGGTGGACCGGAATGGAAGAATTGGAGAACTGATGTCTGGCTTCGGGTCGGGTTGCTTGCTTCTTCTGGATTGGCTTTCCTTTCGCTCGGCCTGTCACCGATCCAAACACCCCAAAGCACCCGGTCCGATCGTCGCAGTTCCGACCTGCCACGATCCGTCCCTCCGTCCACGTGGATGGAAGACTCTGAGGATGGACGGATCTGGGAAGCTTTGCGCCACATGCTCAGCGAGTTACGGGGCTCTGGTTCGTTCATTGGGTTGCCAATTCGCAGGGGCGTCCAACCAACGCTTAGTTGAAGCAAGTGCGAAAGACGAAGAAGCCAGGTTCTGGGTCTGTTTTCTTGGCCAGCTGTATTCAATGGTTTTCTTCATCGAATCATGTCGGCTTTTTTGGTTTCATTTGTTGGCGTGAGATTGCATCAAGTCATATACTCTGCGCCTCTTGTGAATAAGTGTCAGCTCATTTCTCCAGCTTGTCCCTGCAATGCTTGACCACGTCCCGCCGAGGTTGCGCCCACTTGGATGGCTTGGTGCGTACTCTGGTGGGCGGTCTGGACTACCAGGCCGGCTTGTGCTCGGCAGGTTTCAGGCCGCCAAGCGCCATGACTCAGTGATTAGAGTCAAGACCTTTCGAGGGGGTATAGTATAGAGTATAGTGCAACGGAAGTTGCCGGCTGACCTTTCATACAAGGACATCCACTTGTTTGGTGTCCAGAAGGACTTGAATTGGGAGCCGTAATCCGTGTCCACTCAGAGACAGAGAACTGTCCTTGAAAGGGGTCGAATTGTGTGTATAAAGGATCTTTGCACAAGTGGACTTGAGCTGGAATCCTTGCAACTTGAAACCTTTAGAAACCACATCATATATTAGTGGTTTCCAAGATCTCAGGAGTCAGAAGTGGTGCAGTTTATGAAACATGATGACCGATATGCGATCATATAACAAATGCGTTCACAAACGAGTTGGCCAGGTCACGGACGAAGGCTCCAATTTGAGCTTTGGTCAGCGGCAGTTGTTTTGCCTGGCGCGGATGGCGCGGATAGCCGAGGGGAGTCGGGGTGTGGACATTCCATGTGTTGCAGACAAGGCATATGCGCAAGTTGGGTGCCCCCAACCCCCATAAGATGTTGATGTAATTTCCCCCCAGAACAGTCTTGAAAGCCATCTACCCATTTGAGGATGTACTTGAGCCATTGGAGCTCCGCTTGGAAAATACCAGTGGATCTACAGGTCCCTTGGGGCCAATCCTCTAGCCCTAAGGATCCGGACCCTCAAAAAACAAGGGTTTTGAGGGTACAAACCCCCGTTCAAAAGGGTTCGACCCCTTCTATAAAAGGGTACAAGGATCCTTAGGGAGTGATCCAGAGATCGCCTCCGAAAGCAGTCGGAACCCGCGTCGGCCGATCATTGCACCTTCAGGTGCTTCGGCAGCCGGCGCTGCTTCTGCTCGACGAGGCCCGCAGTTCGCTTGGGGAGAGGTGAAGTTGTGGGGAGAGGTGTGGAACCGGTGCTCAATTGGTTGGAGCTTGGGCCTCTTCGCGAGCACCAAACGAGATGGCAGACGTGTGGATGCGCCAGACGTGCCGAAAAAGATCGCCACCAAGTGTACTGGAGAAGGGCCGAGAACTGGGAATGGGTCGTTCACCCTGGAGCCCAGGTCCACCATCGAACGATGATCGAGTAGGTCCACCAGTCCGTCCGGCGGCGACCCACGTGGGCGATCGCCCCAGGCCACGTCGGCGATCGATCCACGCACGCAGGCACGGTCGCGACCGCGCGTGGTGATGGAGGAAGAAGACCTCATCCCCCCCTGCCCGGATGTTTTTGGTACATACATCTCCATAGTCTTACAAAAAACTTTCATTGGAGAGAGCCTGTTTTCAAAACTTAAAGACAAGTCAAAAAAAAGGTCAAATCAGAAGGTTTCAGAAAGTCAAAAACAAATCAATTTGCACAGATCCGACTTTTTTTGACTTTTTAAACGATATTGGTCGTTTTCACTTTTTTTGACTTTTTTGACTCGTTGAGTGGTTGACTTTTTTAACGTTCTTTTTTCCCCTGTGTTTTTTTAATATAATATATGTTTTTTTTAGATTTTGATTTTTTTTTTGTAATTTTTTGAATTTTTTTTGATTGTTTTTTCGACCTTTTTTGACATCTTTTTCGACTTTTTGATTATTTTTTGACTTTTCCGAGCTGTGGTCTATGGTTGACTTTATTTTTTCGATTTTTTGTTGACTTTGTTTTGACTTTTCATTTTTTGTGACTTTGACTTTTTCCATTTGACTTTTTTTGACTTATGTATTAAGGATTCTGGCCTTACCATATGAAAGAATTTTATAACCATAGTCAAGATGGTGACTGTTTGAAACGTCACATCGTCCCACCTGCTGGTCGGAGATGCTAGACAGCAATTAGCCACTCCATGCGCTTCTTCACGTGCCAAGCAGCTTGTGGGGGCAGTCGGGAGCTGTGCGTTTCATGGGTGAAGTAAGGCTCAGTGTTCCAAACCCTCCTGATGGGGGTTATTTTGTTGGGATGTAACCTACAGACGTCGAAAGACTACATTTTTACCCAGTGAGGTAGAGGAAGTTTCCTGTCAGGTGCCCTAAAGACATTTTTTAAAATTAGTCTTTGACTCTCAGGATGTATGGCTGTGGTGGTGTGTTTGGTTAGAAAGTCATGTTCTCTATCTGCGACTGGAGATAGTGACAGCGATGTAGGAATTCGGCGGGTAAGTCATTCAAATTCAATGTCTACTATTGAAAGAATGTGGCGAACGCCACGAGCAGAGATCAGTTGGACTCGTTTGGAACATGCTTCAAATGGGAAGTCTGATTCAAACCACTTCAAGAAGTATGTCCGGATTCATGGGCTGCTGGGCAGCACAATGATGTAAATCATCCATGAGAGTGAAGTTTGTTTTCCCCAATGAATTTGATTTTTTAAGCATGCTTTAGCGCTGGCGGCGCGCGGAAGCGCTTCCAACAAAGGTATATTCGTATATATGTTATACTCGTACGATTTCGTACAGATGATTTTGCATTTCTATTTTAGCTTCCTCGAAGGAGCTATGTGAGTACCTAATTGCTAGTTCAATCATCCCCCGTACTTCTTCCACTCTAAAATGCAGATACCCTGTGCCCTAGAGACATGTGACATGTCAGACAATGATCCACCATGGCTGAAACATAGTATGATGTACAAAGAGGCATTTTGTAAAAAATTAGGTGCTCCTACATATGAGCATGTATGGGGAGAAGTAATTGCATAGAATGTCACGGTTCCTAAGAGCAATGCTGTACTCCAAATTAGGACACATCATTGCATTTTATGAACCCATCCATGTGCCGATCTAAAGTGAACCAACGAAACCTGAAAGAGACCCTTCGCTCGGATATGGTCCAGTGACCCCGTGAGAGAGAGTTGGCTGGCGAGACATCCTGAGCAGCAATGGTGGGATAGTGGGGCTGTGCTTTTACTTCGACTACGTATGTTGTTGCAGAATTGGCCTTATGTACCGTCTATCCAAGAAACATTGAAGTGGAACATGGCCCCTTGGAAGACAGTTTTTCCTCTAGGAACAGGTTGTATTCCCCTTCCATGATTGTTTCAGGGAGGGTATGTTGTTGCAGAATTGGCATTTTGTAAGAAGGCAAGATTGGTCACCTCAGATGTAGGTTCACCACAGAGAATTGGTTTCTATTTATTTCGTATTACTGTTGGTTAGACTGGAATGGTTCCCTTAGATCATTGTATAGCACGAAAATGGCCTTCTACGAATAGAACAACATGCACCAATGCGTGTCTGTCAAGCCAAGGGGGAGCTACTTCCCCCAGCCCACTCGACGAGAGAAGCGTCCACCGCCCTCGCCGGTCGACGTCGTCCTCGATCCTCTCGGTGCCTCGAGGAGAATGTCCAAGAGACGATCAGCCGGGGGGCCTTTCGGGGGGCCTTTCGCCCGAAACCTGTTTGTTCTCGGAAGTTCGAGAGAACACCGGGGAGGTGGCTTTCCTCGAGTTCTTTTTCCCGAGAAACTCGCGCCCCTTTTTGGGTGCGAGGAGGTGCGAGGATCACACTGATGAGACCAAGCCCATTTGGTTGCTTGAATGCTTAAATGCTCGAGGGACTGTTTTTGATCAACAGCTTGGCCTCCAAAATGCCCAACACCACTTCGCTGGGGGAGGGGCGAAGTGGCCTTCCATGCTACTCCCGGTGCCATGTGCTTGCGAGTCCCGTCGCGGGTGAGGCCATGCCTTCCCTGACTCCACGCTGGTGGCCATTGCTCACCGTTGGGCACCTGGAAAGAAAACCTGTCTGTAGTAGCTACTTGCTCCGTTCGTAGCGATGCCAGGAGCCCCTAGTAGCTTCTTGTTCCTAGTAGTAAGGCCAGGAGCCCCTAGTAGCGTCCTTGCTCCCAGTAGCACAACGAGTTTGTGTCGAGAGGCCACGGATTCGACAGAAGCCTCGTTTCATGCCTCGTGCCACTTGCCACGAGTGAAACCACAAGTTCACAGATGAGGAACCGGGGGCAGCAGCATCAATGGGGGAGATGAAGATTTTGGGAGCCAAGGGGAGGCAAACAGGAAGCAAAGCATTAGGGCTTTTTATATTTTTATTGTTTTCCAATTCTTTTTCCATGATTGGGAGGGGGCATAAGAAGGAAACATGGATTAGAACTGATGAAATCCAGCGCAATCTTATTCAATCCGGCTTGCACATATATACTGTAAACAGCTATAATAACTATAAACGGCTATATATATATAATTTTTGGCTGTGCACACGCAGTTTCCGAGCTTTGGGCCAGAAGGGGGGGCAATGTTGGCAATTTTTTATCTCTTTGTAAGGGGAAGAGAGCTCCACCGACGGTTCTTGACATGCTTTCCACATACCTTGCCGTCACCAGTCATTGCCGCTGGTCAATGCAAGTTTCCTCGGGCCTGGGTGATTTGAGGCTTAGAAACAATCCTGGACTTCGACCAGCTTGTGGTGCTTGATGCTGGTGAAGTGGCTGAGACGCTTGATGTCTGAGCACAGGGGGAGTGGTGATGCCTTGTTGTTGGTGGCTGTTGGTGTTAGTGGAAAACCGGAAGAATAATCAGGTCTCACATGGTCTCACAAATGTGCTCCCGTTCATGATGGGAGCGAATTGATGGGCTGTATCACGCAAAACTCCCAAGATTGGGACCCCCAGATCAAACATGACTTTAGGGCAAGAAAGCACAGCAAGACAGGCTGACGGTCGATGCTTTTCGTCCAGGACTCATGGTTCAAGTCCCAAAGCACTTTGGGAGGGCAGCAAATTCCCTGAACACAAAACCCCGAAAGGGACTTTAGGCATTTGAAGCTTTCTCATCGGTTTTGGCAATTCGATGACAGTGATATTACAATTATATGTAACATTTGGAGACTTTCACTCAAAATGTACGTTCAATGATCAAGTTCTCGGCAATTCCCACCGGTGAAAGGAACAACCAACAATGCCCAGTTAAGTTGATTGGTGTGGGGCCGAACCATGCGTCCTGGCCAGTCCTGGCACTGTCAGGCAGGTTGCTTTCTTATATAGTTCAGGGTTTCGGGCTTTTGGACGCTGAAGAACATTGAGATACCCATCCGCCTTCCAGAACGCTGCCTGGCATACACACAGACTCGGACTTGCGTATATATATATATATATATAAATATACATATATAATAATCATAATATATGTTTGGCGATGGGGAGCGGGAGAGACAGAGAAACAAACAACAACACGAAGCAAAGATGTGCATTCGTTAACTCTTGCAGACACCAATAATGCCTAATGCCGAGAAAGGACCTAAACTGATGCAACATCATACAACCCATTGCCTTCACACGTCATTTTTGCCCAGGAAAGGCTCCGTGAAGGAGTTGCAGAATCGTCCGGTGAGATTCCAAGACGTAGACGTGGAGCGTCGCGCCATAAAATTCCGGTCCAGAAGCGCCCGGTCAATGGCGCATTTGAAACGCTTATTCCACATGAAAGTGATGTCATGTCAAATAGGTGGAGTCCTTCTTGAGATTTGGAGATCCGTTTTTTGAGGAGAGCTTTTGAAAGGGGCAGTTTTCATATGGGAAGACCAGCGTACATGTCCCAAAGTTGAATTTGGGTTTGGACAGTTCTCTTCTATCCTGCCTTCAAATGCCTTGCTTAGGCCAACCAGGAAATGTTGTCACAGGTGTGTAGGCATGGAAAGGACGTGGGTGATCACGGAGGTTTCCATTTCATTAGAAGTTATACTTCCCGGGAAGTTCACTGAGCTCTAGTGAAGCACAGCCCAAACTCAAAGTGCGTTTCGCATACAGGATGGCAAGTTCCGGAGGATGCTGTCGGCCAAGAAGGCCCTTTGGGCCTTTCCGTTGGGCCTGTGGGGATGCTTGTGAGCTGATAGCAATCTTCCAGCAAAGCACAGCTGATAAGAGACGTCGCGAAGCATCAGCTGATGACGGGGGTTTCGATGGCTGTCACCTGTTCGATTCGATGACTGACACACAGATTCACTTGGAACTATGGCAGTAACATGCAGTAACTATGGTGCAGGTGCAATGTCTTTTCGTTATAGACTACAGTAGCCAACAGTTTTTATAGAGTCCCACAGGACTCTATCCGCATAAAGAATCCATGCATTGGCCCACCTGTGGCTCCCAACCACAGAACGATAGACATAGAATCTCCCTTTAGAATATTTTAGAATAACATGTGCAAGCTTGAGCAAACTCTTGCATGGAACGATGTTTCCTCTACCAGTTGGAGAAATCCCGTTGGCTGGCTTTGGGTCGGATTCCATGGCTGGAGGCCACCCAGTTGCCAGTTCATACCATTTCTCCTTGCGAGGTTTGGGCATGATGGCCCAGAAAGGAGGCCAGAGCCTGGGTTTCGTGGATGGCAGTCGATTTGTTTTGCACTTGCCCCGTGTGACAGGTAGGAGTCCTTTTCACAGGGTAGACAGCGGTTCTTGGGGCTTGGTCAACTGGCTGCCCATTCACACCATTTTCGGTATTGCCAGCTCCTTCCAAGGGACACCAACGGACACCCCTCCACCACTAAAGTAGGCCTCGGACATGTGTTTCATCGAGCAGGCCTGGCGGGCCCTTGCCCTCGGCCTTTAACCCTTTGGTCTTTGGAGCCGGGTGTGTCGCGGTAAGACTTGTCGCAGCATGTCGCAGCGCACCACGTCCCTGAGGGGGCGTCTTGGAGCGTGGCAACTGCGCGGCCCATCCCACACCGGTTGCATTGGCGAAAGCAATGATGGAGGATTTTTTGATCGACCTGTCCGAGCCTGTTGCTCGACATGAGGGTTTTGTTTTGCGGAAGCAACGGATCCAAACCACGAACAATCACTGATGGGACCAGATGATCAGATGTCTTTGCAAGTTGTGTTGAACATTTGGACACCCAAAGTAGGGCCGGTGATGCTGGCCGGTGACGTTGGCGAAGACAGAGAGAGTTTCCGCTCCGAAGCATGGAGGCGCTGGAGGCCCACGGTTGGCTTGTGAGTAGCCGGCGGTCCCTTTCAGGGCTGGGGCCGAGATCAAACGCTACCTGAATCCATACCAGCTTAGGATGCGAAAAAGCACTGTCAACAGTACTTGTCGCGAAAGGCAAAGGCGCGTCCCACAGTCTACTCGTAGCATCAGGTCACCGTTTCTGGAGTTTATTTTGGAGGGATATCTGAAGAAAGCCCTATCTGCAACAAGATGAAAGGTGTTGAGGCAAACTGAATTCAAAAGGCTTCGACCCACCCACATGGGATGTCATAGTAAATGGAGCGGATTCCATGTTGGAGGCCCAATAGCACTGGTCAACCTGCCAGACAGCTTGTCGGTTTGTCAACAAAACGAACCGTTGCGCTACGCTTTTTATGTTATTGTTATTGGTATAATTTATATAATCTTTTTTTAGAGCTTATGCGGCTAGCGGCGGCCAGTCTTCGCCCGAATGAGAATGCCGTTGAACATCTGCGGCACTGTCTCCGGCCGCGTGTGTGAACATCGAGGGTTGTTTCCTTCGATTTTCCTTGGCGCTCCGGCATCGCTCTATAGTCACCTCGTGAGGGTTTGGAAGATGACGATGGCGACCGATTGGCAGGCGTACCTGAAATCAGAAGTGTTGTTTTTTGGCCTCCAAGTAGCTTGTCAATCTTGTCAGAGGACAATCAGTGAATGTTCTGAACCTCACGGGGGATTCTCTTTGAGATCAGCGGCTAAAGCCAGCGCTGAGCCAGTCTATAGTTCATGTGTCCGCATGTGCAGCGCAACGTCGTTGAAAAGGCTTCTTGAGCAGCCACAGTCGGGGTCAGAACGATGAGGATGATCCTGCAAGAGAACGAAGAATTAGCAGCTAGCGAAAAATGTAGGGATATCATATGCACAGTTTCCCTTAGAATATTTAGAATGGGCTCCTGGATGGCATGGGCATCAAACATGTTATCAGGATGAAAAACACCTTATTGTATCTTATTGTCAGGGTTGAACAACATTATCAGGATCAAACAGCATATTCACAGGGTCAACAAAAAGACCCATTTTATTCTCATGATAAAAAAAATATATATAGATGGAAGGAAGGAAGAAAGGAAGGAAACAGACCTTTGATTTTGTGCGCGGTTGGTTTTGTTGGCTGCTGGGGGGAGGCGCTGCGCCCGCGTGCTGTTTTAGATCAAGATTTGTTTTGACCTTTTGCTTTTTCATGGTCTTTGCCCTTGCTTGGATTGGCCCTGTGCTTCGATCGTGATCCTGGTTGGCCTGGTTGCTGGTTTCCTGATTGACCAGTTTCAAGGGGTTTTGGGCTTTTCTTTCGTTTCGGGTCCAAGAGGTGCAGGTCGCGAGGCCGCCCGGAACGGACCGGTTCCGTTCCGGAAGGAACCCAGGTCGCACGACGCTGACCGTTGCCTTTGGGAAGTCCATTCACAGAAACGATACTTGCCGATTTGCATTATCATCCTGCTCTAGATCGACTTACTTGTGGAACTGCTGGGTCCATCCTAATGCCAGACTGAACTGGAAAAGGAGGTATAAAGGATGTTTTTTCTTGGAAACTCACCCTTCCAACAAACAATTGGGTGATTGGCATTTTGCCCTCAGAACTCCGAGCTGGGTCGCTCGCGCTCGTTTCGTGGAGCCCTCGACCTGCGTGATATGTTTCTGCCCGCAGGCCATGTCTTTGGCCCACCCAGATCGGGGCCCGGGGTCTCCGAATCCACTATGCATGGCAGGCCAGAACGACGACGCCGAAATCGGGGGGGGCGGAACATGGAAAGTTCTGGGAGGAATGGGCGTTCTGTAACTCCGAGTCCGAGCGAAGCATATTCGGGTGACTGTAACTCTTCGCTTTCCTCCCGGAACGCTACGAACGGCCGGGGGCTCCTGGCCTCGCGAACGGCGCGCTCCGAGGCCATGGCCCTCCAGGCCGCTGTGGTTCGAGGTGATGGACGGGTGGATGGACGGAAAACCCAAGAGGTCACGGATGAGACGTTGGGGCGGATGGGGGGTGTGCAAGACTGGGGAAGTCCGACTGTTCAAAGCCTCATGATTTGGAGTGGGGACTTGAAGAAGTTCAAATCATTCATTGAAGAATTGAAGCTTCCGACCGCGCAACACCAGTTCTGAGGCCACAGAGGAAGATGGGAAGAACCTCCTCCAAAGTCGCAGTCCTCGGATGCAAACCTCGCCTGATAGAATGAAGACTGGAAGTTGTGCCCAAAAATGCGGGGAGGGGACCAGGGGAACCCCAAAATAACCACAAGACAGTGACTGCCGAACCCATCAGGAGTGATGACTTGAATCATGACTTGGGAATCGCGCCACTCCTTTGCACAGGAAGTTCCGCTAGCCCGAATCGTGAACAAGGTAACGGTCCCAATCAATAGCGACGCAGGGGGAATTTGAGCGCTCGAAAATTGGAGCCTTGGTTGGTTGGAAGCTCGCTGCATCCCACCTAACACGAAGAACACGAGCTCGTAGTCCTGCTTACATGGAGCCTTGGTTGGAACAACCCCTCTTCCAACACGTGTGTGCATGTAGCTTCATCTCAGATGCATTTCGAATCGATCGTCTTTAGCCACCCACCCCACCCACATCCATACATCGCTGACAATGACTATGACTATGAATCGATTATATACTTTCTTGCAAATCCGATGACAACAACAAGTGTGCAAAAACTCAAGAGCCGTTAACGCACTTCTCAGTGGCCCTGCGGGTACTTACTACTACATGGTACTACGGATTTTTGACAATCACAATTTTTGCCTCGCGCGGCTTATTAGGACCGTTAAGGCGAACACCTTCTGAAACACCGTTTTGTTTTGTTTATTCCTCATTGAGCTATTCGAACTTCTTGGCCATCGGCTTGTTGCCCATGTTCGGGGCGACGCGGGAGTCTATTCAGATTCCCCTGTAGGGCCATTGAAGCGGTGGTTTGTGATGCAACTTGCAACGACCTTTCTGCCACCTATATTACTCTATATAATCAGATTCTATGATTGTTATATACAAAGGAGACCCCAACGAATTGTTTTTTGTATGTTTTTGTTAATTTTCCTTCTTCCAGGGGGTCTTTGGTCTTTGGAAGGTCTCCCTATTCTTGACACACAAATATACACAACCATATTGGTTCTGGCACGTCGCCACCTTCTCCACTTGCTTTCTGGCCATGGGCCTTACAGCAGGATGGCTACTACGAGCCCGGGAAAGGGGAATATCTTCCATCTTCAGAACAGTCCGGTGCCCAGCATGCCAGTGCCCAGCCCCTGAGCCGCTCGCATCGCGCGCCACGTTTGACACCGGTCACCGGAGCTGAGAATCCGATTGACCACAGGGGCATGGGATCCCATGGGAAAGGGAACTCAAACCTATGTCCCCTTGACATATTGAAAGCTGTTGATCTGAAAGCTTCCCATAGGTCCGGGCATAAACACATGATGGAAGAGATATTCAATCATTTAAGGTAGGCAGGGTCGGTGATGATGAATTATTTGGGAAGCTTCGGATTAACGTCTCCCAATGTTTGAATGCTCAAGCCAAACTGGGGAGACGCCCCTTGAGGAGCAGTGTCGCTGCTGGAACCTCAAGTTAAACTTTTTCTTCCCGGTTTTTGCCGCCATGGAGAGCGCTGACGCTCAGGTCCGCCGCTCCGCTGAACAGCAGAAGCTGGAGCGGTGGTGCGCTGCGCATGGCATTGAGCGGCCATCCGATCTGGCGTTTTACTTCGTGTCCTACGAAGAAGCGCTGAAGCAAGGCCGCGCTGTGGCGGATGCCTGGGACCAGGCACGCCGCGAGGCGGAGGTTGGCATGGGGGCCCTGGTGCGGGATATTTTTCGCCGTGAACAAGTCTCGCAAGCTGCGCCACGACCTACTACGTCTCCACCATTGCGGCCACGACCAACGCCATCGTTTGCAGGGCCAGTCCGGCCCAGCGCCCAGGGCCGTCAGTCGGGCGGCCCCGCGGGCGGTGCCATGACCTTTTTGCCCCAGTTGATGGCCATTCTTTTGGCGGTCGAGCCTCCGCCGCCGGCTCGCTTGGCTGAGATCACTGCCAACCTCGAGGCCAAGCTCACGCAGGTGCTCCAGAAGGCAGAGGCTGCGACTGTGAAGCGGGCATTGCACACATGGCAAGAACTCCAAGGGGCTATTGCTACTGCAGGTGGAGGTATCCCAGATAAACACCTCCTGGCTACCTTTATTCGTGAGCACACTTCGCCTACCAGGGCCTATACGGCTTTGGGGTGGCTCGTCCGCAACCTCAAGTTGCCCTTCGACCTCTCCGAAGTGGTGAAACCTCGAGCGGGTTTGGGATCGCGCCTCGGCCAGGGGCAGGCGCAGGCGGCGACTTTGGAGCCCTCCATGGTCATCCATCTGTTGGGCACTTTGGAATCCATGGTTGACAATCCTCACTGGCCCATGGTGTTTTGTGCCTACGCCATGCTGTTCGGGGTGGTCAGGTACACCCATTTGCAACGAAGCTACTTGGTCGGCGGGAACGGGGCCATCCTTGTGTTCTGGTGCACGAAAGGAAAGACTGGCAGCTGTGGCGGCTTCGCCTGGAGCGTTCCACGGTTTTGTGGTACGTTGGACCTCCTCCAGGTGCTGGGAGCCCATTTGAACAAAGTGCGCCCCAGAGCCGGCGCCGGCTTCAGGCGCTGGCATTGGTTGGGGTTCGACTCAGCCACCGCCCAGCCCGTGGGCACAGCACAATGTGTCCGGATCCTACGCCCCTACCTGGCTGCTTCTATGGACGTTACCAGCCTCTCGTCCTACTCGTTCCGTCGAGTGCTCCCGACCTTGGCTGGGTCCGTGGGGCTTTCGGAGACAGAGCGGCTTGCTCTTGGACAATGGGTGGATCAATCCTCTAAGTCTGCGGCTACCACCCCTCTGCGTTATGACTCGAGGAAACAACGTTTGGGACACCAATTACGCCTGGCAGGTTTACACTTCTTCCAGGACCTCAACATGGCTTTGTGGGACGAGCTGCCGACAGGATACTCTACTGCCAGATGGGCCACTTGTATGGAGGAGGCTGATGCGCTGCTCGCCTCTGACCCCCAAATCTGCC